CGCAGAGTGCCAAAAATGACCAAACAGACACATAAAACAAATTGAAAGGAATTAGCTCACAGAGGAGTGTGTGTATAAGGTTGCAGTTTTACATTGGAACTTCTGCTCAGACATTCATAAGATAGTTCTGTTAGAGCAGTGTTACTAAGGTAGTGAACAATATTTACAGGCCTGTGGCTTCTTGAAATCTGACAAAGATTGCTTCCACCCTCCACCCACTTTCTTGGGAGTAGATCCCATTAAAGTTAATAGGAGTTCTGATCAGAGATTGAGATTTGGAATTGATATGCACCTATTCATGCAAGAATGGCAACATTTAAAAAACTAAAATAAAAAGTTAATACCGTCTTCATATACCCTATTCATGTATAAGTCTAGATCAGGGGTCTGCAAACTTTTTAAACAGAGGGCCAGGTCACAGTCCCTCAAACTGTTGGAGGGCCGGATTATAATTTGAAAAAATCATGAATGAATTCCTATGCACACTGCACATATCAAATTTTAGTGCAAAACCCCCACTTAAAACAATACAATAACTAAAATGAAGAACAATTTTACCAAATATAAGCTTATTAGTATTTCCATGGGAAGTGTGGGCCTGCTTTTGGCTGATGAGATAGGATTGTTGTTGTTGTTGTGGTTGTGTGCTTTCAAGTCGTTTCAGACTTAGGTTGACCCTGAGCAAGGGCCGGGTAAATGACCCCGGAGGGCCGTATCTGACCCCTGGGCCTTAGTTTGAGGACCCCTGGTCTAGATGATTTAGCTAAAGAAATCAGCCTTAAAAAACTGGACTAACTTATCCATGGGTCAGTATGAGTACTGTACCATCCCCATTTAAAAGAAGCATCAAACTCCTCTGCTATTGGGTTGTTGTGAGTTTTCCGGACTGTATGGCCATGTTGCAGAAGCATTCTCTTATGACGTTTTGCCTATATTTATGGCAGGCATCCTCAAAGGTTTGAGGTTTGTTGGAAACTAGGCAAGTGGGGTTTATATAACTGAGGAACATCCAGGTTGGGAGAAAGAATAGTGCTATTTCTGCCATGATGCAGTATCTGGCCTTTTTTTGAATATTTGGGCTCGCAAATGGCGACAGCGGGCGGGCAGGTGTTGCTGCTGCTTTCCCATCCCTGCAGAGTGGCCCTTGACCTATCCATAGGTCACATCAAAATCTATAATGTTGGCTCCCAAACACCACATATAAATGAGGTCAAGTTATATCTAACTATATACAGTAATTGTCTTATAGAATAAACATCTTTAATCGCTTTAGTTTTGAAAATAAAATTCTCCAAAAGTTTATAATATAAGAAGTAGCAAACATAACATAAAGAGAAAGAGTGAAAGAATTAGAAGAAATTAGGCAGACCATCTGATTTTTTTAAAGATGGTTTATTCATAGTCAGAAAGGTGTTAAGGCACTTCTGAGAGACTGGAATAGACCTTGCAAACCACTGCTTTTATTGACCCTATTGCTGGATCAAGGAAAATAAAAAAACAGTATCTATCTTGTCAAACATAGGACCTGCTCATTTTTCCCTTAGGTTGCATGACTAGGTGACCCTTTCATTCTCTTTTTGGCATTCCCCTGACTAATGTTGGCAAGTTAGTGTCTAAAACCAAGGCCTTGTATTCTTCTAGTAAAATTGAAACATGATGCCCAAAATGGCTTCTGTGCTCCTAAAGCACCTTCTTATATCATAGAATGCCACATGTTGGGCTAGGCACCAGTGCCAAATGTTTGTGGCTCAGCTGGCAATGTGCTTGTATTCTCTTTCACAAGGGTGGCAATGGGGGAGAGAAAGCAGACCGTGTGATAAATACGTGCAAAATATCACACTTCTACTGTAGGGGTTGTCAGAATCATCTGGTGAAATGTGACATATGAAAGGTGCCAGCACTTTAATAGGCATCTGTATCTCATTAATGGCCTTATATTGTGTGTGTGTGCAGACACACACACACACACACCCAAACACAGGGCAGTGGAATGTGTGCATTCCTGAAATGATGGAACAAGTCTTCTTGCCCTCTGTCTGCCTCATACTGTAAGAAGCCAATCTGGAAGAGATAATGAGAGACAGGTTAAATCTTGAGCACAGTCTTTGGGTTGGCCTTGTTTTGGTTTGCTAGCTTCTGTAAAAAAAAGTTTTATCAAGATTGATTCATGTGGCTTACAACATTTTTGACTTGTTTCTTTTTTCCCTTTGCTTTTAAGTTCTGCATTTGTTCAGGGTTCAACAAAGATGAGCTCAATGAAGTGGGTTTAAATACATGGGAAGAGAATTGTGGGAGTTCAAGTCCAAAACACCTGGAGGGCCAAAGTTTGCCTATGCTTGGTTCATATCTAATGGATCCTCCAAATCAGTAATGTATCCCTTCCTCCTTTTAAGTACGATAAACATTGAGACATGAGAATATACCAGTTGAAAAGCTGTAGTCCCTGTAACAGTGTAATAAACTGGAAACAGTTACATTTTTCATATTTCATGGGTTAGGAAAGCAGGACCTTTAAAACACTTTTAAAAACATTAAGCAGAGACAGGTTTAAAAAAAAAACTGAAAGAACATCTTTCTAGCAATCTCTATGTCCCCCAGTGAGACTCTGTGCTCAGCACCCACTGTATTTGACCATATGATCGTGTAATCAAATCCATGAAGGATTAAGTCTGCAAAAGTTAAACCCACAATTGTGGATGGCCAATTGAACTTTTAGATAGCAGAACCATTGTTGTTATCCTTTATCTTACTACTGTAATTTCACACAATTGCATCACAGTTATTGTAAAAAAAAAAAAAGTACAGTGTTCCCTTGCTATTTTGCGGTTCGCTTTATGCGGACTCGCTGTTTCGCAGGTTTTTGAAAATATTAATATAAAATATTTATGTCCAGTGGAGGCCAGGGACCCTGTAAGTGCGGCAGCTTGAGGCGCAGCGGGGAAGGCCTGCCTCCCTGGCCTGCCGCTGCCTGTGTTGCTCAGGAGGCTCTGCCGGGGTCTGCAGAGACCAGGAAGGCAGGCACGCGCCCTCGGGATGATCCGGGAGGTGGATAAGGAAGTGCGGGTAAGAAAATAATATATAAAATATATAAAATAATGTATAAATATTAAAATTAATAAAGCATCTCTACTTTGTTGATTTTCACTTATCACAGGTTGTCCTGGAACGGAACACCCACGATAAGTGAGGGAACACTGTACCTCCTTGTTTATAACTGGTTATTTCCAAGCCCCAACAGAAGAGTAGTGAAGTAAAAAAAGCCCTATATGCTACCTTTCTGAGAATCAAGTGAAAAGGCCCCATAGTGAGCCTTTTTAGGAGGACATTCCATAAGAAGGCCTGCTTTTCTGTCTCCATCAAATATTCCTCCAAATGTTACAGAGCCCAGAATAGGGAAAGGGTACTCAATAGCCCTGACTAAGTAAGAGGAACTCTCCTTCTGTCTTTCTTTCTGGTTCTGTAACCATTCTGTGTGCTTCCTTTTCCTCATTTATCATTAAATAGTTGAAGTACAGTCAGCCCTCCACACTTGCTGGGGTTATGGATACAGAACCTCAATGAAAATGGAAAAAACCCATAAATAAAGAAATTACATTTTTTACAAATCTGAGAGAACACGTCTAGGAATTTCAAAGTCTTCTATCATGGCTCTGTGGTCAACTTCCATCGCATTGTAGGACCTAGAGAGGTGTGTTCTCTTGAAATCTTTATATCTTCCGGCATGACTAGAGTAACAATGGAGAACCTAGAGCTTTCTAAAGACACAATTTTAATCAAATCCATGAATATCAAATCTAAAAAAAATTCAAAACCCTAATGACAACTGTTTACCTTCCTGTCCTAGTTTTTTAAAGTATTCAGAGTAGATCTGAATGAAAATCACATGGCGATCATACCCTTGGATAGTCTACCTTAAAATTTTCTGTGGAGGGTTATAGTGCTGTGATTCCACTTTAACTGCCATGACAACATCTTGTGGAATCCTGAGATTTGCAGTTTTCGGAGGGGCATTCACAAATCTCAACAAGAGAGCTCCTCAAATGGCTCACCAAACTACATGTCCCAGGATTTCACAGGATACCGCCCATGCAATTAAAGTGGTATACCTGTGTATGCCAAAGAGCTCTGGTCAATAATTAGCTTCGTATGAGGTCTACTCTGAGGATGGGACATTGGCTTCCCAGGGCCTAAGAACTTCCTTATATCTATCAAACTGACTTGTTAGGAGTTTACTTCCGTACCTTCAGTTTGCTTAAAGTTATATCTCTAGGATCCAGATTTAGCCCTGATCTTTAATGATTTGGCTTGAAGAATAATTGTAAATCAGGCCGGGGAACCTATGGCCTTCCAGATCTTGCTGGACTGCGACTCCCATCATCCCTGGCCAGAATAGCTAATGGTGGAGGGGCCACATGTTCTCCATCCCTCTTTTCAATAATGTAATGACAGAAAACTAGATCACACAAACACATAGCTGCCATTTCATGGTAGTATTTTTTTTTAAATGTAGTGTATGGTTGGGATCTCAACTCTGGGAGAAAAGCAGGATAAAAATAAATTTATCATCATCATCACCATCATCATCATCATCCTCAGGGTGGGCATGAAAACAATGACAACTCTAAGCCTATCCCTAAATTCCATAATACAATCTTAGTAACTCTTAAAGGTTTTCTCCAGGTTCAATTTTAAGTTAGCCCCCACCATGGCAAAGCTATACTATTACAGGCCTTTATAAAAATGTCTGACAGAATATCTGTTTCGAATATCATTTAAAAGCAGACATATACTAAGTCATGGAACATCTGAACTATTTTTTAGAGAAAAGTTTCACATTAAATGGTTGAAAATGTTACAAGAAAAAATATATTAAGGTTGCTATGCTTTTGGATTTGATAGACTTAAAACAGTGTTATGTTCCATGCTGTATGCAAATGAACTGCATCAGATTGTATTACCACAAGAGATCTTTATATGATATTATTATTTTTTTCTTGCAGATACTTCCTGGCTTGTTCCTTGGAAATTTTAAAGGTAAGATCAATCTCATTAGCACAGGTATGGGCAAACTTTGGCCCGCCAGGGGTTTTGGACTCCAACAACCCACAATTCCTAAGAGCCTCGGGTCCTTTTCTTTCCCCCCTCAGCTGCTTAAGGGGCTTGAGGCTCTTGGGAATTGTGAGAGTTGAGGGCAAAAGTTGCCGATGCCTGCATTAGCAGCTCTGGCATAACACTGTTACTTGCAGACTGGAGGAATTCTGTCCATCCCTTTCTTTCCAGTCTAGAACAGTGGTGTCAAGCGTGTGGTGTTTTGGACTTCAGCTTCCAGAATTCTTGGCCATCTAGAGAGCCACAAGTTTGACACATCAGATCTAGAGCATTGTGTGCTCATCATTCCCAACACTATAATTTGTGTTTACTGACAGCTCTTGGAATCATTTGCAGAACTAGAACAGTGCAATTATTTCATAAAAGTGGATCTCAATCTTTGGTTCTTGGTGTGTTTTGGACGTAAGAAGCCCTAGCCAGTATGGCCAGTTGTCAGATGTTATGAGAGCTGAAGCCCAACCATCTGGAGGACTAAAGAGGGAGGACCATTGCTTCATAAGATGTTAGCAAGCTTGGTTTGTGCCTTGTGCCCCTAAATTTCTTCAATTCATTAAAATCTGTGGGCACCTACAGAGGAATAGATGGCACTGTACGTGTTGTAGTCTTTCACAGAAGATAATGTGAAACATTGCTTCATGTGGAAGTTTAACTTCAGTTGCTTTTGTATGTGAGCATGGGCAACACAGTTTAAAAATACACCAAGTAGACACGCTCTTTCAGGCTTTTAAATATAGCAAGTCTAGCTTTGCTCAAATTGTTTTGGCGACTGGCCTAAAGATAACTTCCTTCTCACCAAAAGCCTGACAAGGGCAATGCAAAACAAGATGATGATATTGCTCATCTGAATCTCCTTATGAACATATGTGGAAAGAAAATGTACAGTTTAAAAAAAGAGAAAAGAATTACCCATCTCCAGGAAACATGCCAGCATACTTCAGTGAGGTCTTGTTACTTGCTTTGTGAAAGACTTCTTCATTATATTAAATTTGAGAGAAGCATTGATCAGCACAGGAGTGGTGGTACATTTTAACATTTTGCTTGAATAAAATTACCAATGAGCATTTTCAACTGGGATATGTATGTGTGAGAGAGACGGAGAGCTGATGTTATGTAAACATTTCATTAACTTAGTTTCAGTGGAAATTACATAATGATGTTCATAACCTGAATCTTCTCCAGAAGGGCTAGAGAAATGTTACTCACGCTATTCATGCCGACAGCTGTAAAGGCTGCCTATTTACTACTCCATTATCTTTCCCCTTTCGACTGGAGGAAATTCATCCTTCTTATCTTCCGTTAAGGCCTCATATAGCACTGCCACTACTTCTCCTTCATTTGGGTCCTGATTGTGTAGAGTATGCTGACTGAAGAGATCTCCATGCTCTAACTCGTTCTGCACTGGGAATGGCAAGGCACGCCAGGTTGTGTGCTCCTTATTGAGAGTTATGTTAGAACAAGGTTGATGCATTTACTCCAGCCCCAGAAAAGAACTGTGAATTAGTACATACCTTGATTTTGAAAATCTACATGCTTTCCCTTTACTTCTGTGTTCCCCACTTCCTTTTCAATGTAAAACCACAATGGTGTTGACAAGCCCCAATCAACTATATATTTGTTTTAAAATCGTAGCCAAACTTTTTGCAGTCTTAGCTTTAAAGGCTTGATTCATACAGGCCCTCCTGTTGGAAATAAGCCTAAGATTCCTGAAACAGATGGCTTCACTGATGATTTAGAGAGGATTGTGGGATTGCCTGGGGTTCAAAGTGATGAAGATTCAAGTCAGGTGAATGATGCTTCTCTATGTGAGAAATCTGACTCGGATAGTACAGTGCTTCAAGGTCATTCAGAAGCCAGTAACTGCAGCATTAGATAAGGAGTTGGCTGAAGAGATAAGTGATACAGAAGGCTCTCAGGAGAAAACACTTAAAGGTATTCGTTTACAGATCAGAGCAGAAAATAGGCATTGTAGGTCCGAGCACTTACGTAAGAAAGTTGGGGAGAGATTTCTGGGGGAAAAAAACATGACCTCATGGGTACCTATTAATTAGCAAGCTGTTTACCAAAGAGTTAGTTCAGGCAATGTAGCATTCAAGTCAGAAGCTAGGCATGAGTTTTGTGGTTCCTGTTTTTATATTCCTTCTCAAGTTTTACTAAGAATACATTTTTTCTTGTACTTATGCTGTACTTGTGACTTTTTGGCTATTCCCGGACTGTGTTACCTGCATGAGACTTTTGGATTACTGTTTGGATTATCATCTATTGCTAAACGTTTTTAGATTATACTTTTTTTCCTTTATTTTTGCATTCTTTTGCCTATACTTTTAACGTGTTTCTACAATAAACTGTTTGCTTACATCCTGGACTCTTGTGTGGTACTGTGGTTATAAGGGCTCCCAGGCCTGGAGTACAACACCTCCTGGCAATTTTGTAGCAGGCAAATATACAGAAATCCAGTATCCAGATAATAAAGATATGGTGGACTTCCAAATTGTTACCAAGCAAATTGTGAGCCACTCCCAAAAACTAGGGGAGGCTGTAGCACCCATTCAATCTGCAGGTGGAAAGATTGAAAGCTTCTTAGAAGGACACAGATCACAATCCTTCCTGGAAACCAGGAAAACTTGGGAAGGAGAGGAGTGTGAAGCACAATCCAGACTTCTCTATGTTTATATTGGATTTCGATTAAAAATTCAGTATCTTGTTTGTACACTGCTTTGGGTGTTTGCTAATAGGTGATAAATGTAATAAAAGTCAGTGAATACCAAAATACTGAATTTAGATATGAACAGAAGTCAGTGAATAATAAAATACTGAATTTAGATATGAATACTACCCGGATTAAATAACTCGGGAGTATATGTGGTATTTTCCTTTTGTTTTAACTTTAAAATATGGGTATGCACAGGCTATGTCACTTGAACACTGTAAAATGTAATGTGAGCGATTGACCTCTTCGCAGCAAAACGCAGATAACACCCAGTGTAATGAAACTGATACCTAGTATCTGTTTCCCAATTTGGTTCTTTTTAATTTCTCCCCATGCAACTGTGTCAAGACCAAAAAAGTCTCAAAATTACAGAGTGAGTCAGCAATTCAGCCTTTATTAAAATTATGAAGCCTTGCAGCATCTCCTGGTTTCTGCATAAATTGGTGTAGCAGATGTCAGCCGTTCATACAGAGATTATAATAAACATGCTGGTGGTAGTAATCGTATTTTAATCCATCAAAATGCACTCATATTTGCTTGCCTTCAAAATCCTTGTGGAAATATAAAAAATTGTAGAAGATATTGATATGATTTTAAAAAAATCCTTGTCACTGTTTACAAAAACGAAAGAATGGTACATTTAGAAATAAATCCCAAACCTGTTTTTTAAAGGAATACTTTGATTTCTAAGGTTCTTGTATTTGTAAAAAGATATTTTTGAGATTTAATCTCAAGCAATTTACCTCCCCAGATTTGTCACTGGAAGTACTGATGCTTTATTTCAATAGTTTTTACTAGTTAACATTGGGAAAATATTGCATGAATGATTTTTATACTTAATTCAGCATGGATAACAATTAGTATTATAGCATTTCTGAAACTCATATCAACCAGGTGAATGCCTTTGGTCATGGTTTCCTATCTAGCAGATTGTCACAATAGAAAAGGGCAAATTCTTGATCGTCATCCACATTGGAGATATTCAAGGACTGCCTTTGTGATCTTTGTTCCAAGGACCTTATCTTCCACAACACTTTTGAAGATGAGTCCCTTGGAGCAGGGCCAGTCTTGGTGACAATTCTGTGTCTTCTGGAAGATCTGTAAAGGTGATATACAGTATAATCTCTTTCTGATGGAAGCTATGGTCTCCCAAGTGGCAGACCCTGGGGATGGGTACAACATTGCTTTCATGCGCAGCTCTATGCAGGAGTTTTGAAGAAAGCCTTGAGGAATTTAGAAAACTTCTGGTCCTTCCACTAAGACTAATTTCCAGCTTTGTAGTGTGCTGTTGTACAGAGTCCACCATTAATAAATAGGCAGTTGCTCCCTATTAGACTGTTGGTCCACTTAGCCCAGTATTGTTTATATAAAACCTTCCTCGATCCAATGGATGAGTTACGTTGCATTACTGTTCCCGCTATCAGTTGTAAACATCTGGAAGCTGCTTGGTTGTGAAATATACACTTGTATCCACTGACTGAGTCTCTTGAAGCAGGGCTTTCAGAGGAGCAGCACCACTCTTGGAGGTTTCTTCACCTTGTGCCCACAAGAAATTTTGTTGATACAGAATCAAGGTTATTACACCATAACAATATGCCCAGAGAATTCACATTATGGACCTATCAGCCCTCTGTGTTTATAAAGACAAGAACCAAGACAAATGCAGTGCATTTGTTGGGTGAATATTTATCCCAACTATTGTTTGACTTTACAAAAATTCCTCACAGTAGCAAGTGGCTAAAACTCAGAGATGGTGTTTAGAGCTGTTTAGATAGCAATGTTTTAAAACACTTAACTTGCAAATGGAGGTCTGAGCTACTTCTAAAATATGAAGTGACTGTACCATATCAAAATGTTACTTCCTGAAACTTAAGTCTCTTTTCAGCATGGATGAGGGCTGGAAAAAAAAGACGTGTTTGTTAAGAGGATTTCTATTCCATGACTCTCGGAGCACCTAAAAATGTTTTTAAAGCAATAATAAACATTACATTCTTCCCTGAATGTCATGACGGCAGGAGAAAGAAAGCCTTATGGAAAAATACAACAGGGCATAACTTTCAAAACAGAAGACTGTTGTGTGGTGCTTTAAAGACACAAGAGTTGGCAACAGGTTGTCCTCCCAGCCATTTAAATATGAAGATAGCCTTCTACTTTCACTGGGGTTAGGTTAGGTAGTAGGAGCCCTACAAAAGTGGAAAAACCAGAAATAGAAAACCTGCTATTTTTTAACCTTGGAGAACATCTTTCTAGGAACTTCTAGGTCCTTCAGTGGCACTATATCAGTGGTTCTCAACCTGTGGATCCCCAGGTGTTTTGGCCTACAACTCCCAGAAATCCCAGCCAGTTTACCAGTTGTTAGGATTTCTGGGACTTGAAGGCCAAAACATCTGGAGGTTGAGAACCACTGCTTTATATTGTCAATTTCTGCAAATGCCTAGTGTTCTTTCTAGGTCCTCCAGCATGACTAGTAATTCTTACAGATAATATATTAACTAAATCTGTGAATAATCAGATCCACAAAAGTTGAACCTGCAAGTGTGGATGACCAACTGTACTACATTTAAGTCAAAATGTAACAGGAGCATAGCATTTGCCAATGTAATAAACTTGTACTACATGATTTTTAGGCTTGAAGATGGGACTCTGTTTCTGTGGTTGTTACATATAGTAATAAAATTAGATACAAGTGATGGCAAAACATTTTTCTCATGTTTTTTTAATGGCAGATGCCCGTGACACGGAACAACTGAAACGAAATAACATCACTCACATTCTTTCCATCCACGATACTGCTCGGGCCATGCTTGAGGTATGAAAAGAAACTTGCCATAACTCATGGAGGGAATGAAATCGCACAGGCTAGATTTTGTTGCATTTCTCCAAATTGTACCTGTGTTCTTGTCTTGTCTTCATTTTATTTATGAGTTGTGAGGGTTTGTTTTATCCTCTTGCAAAGACATTTTTGAAAATGTACCTGTTTCCCGCATTGTTTAAATATGCATCCATACCTTAGCAGTTTACATTTTAAAATTGGATGAGCTTGTTTATATTCATATGAGTCCTCTCGGGGAGATAGGGTGGGTTAGAAATAAATTATTATTATTATTATTATTATTATTATTATTATTATTATTATTATTTTCTGGTTCCCTGAAACACATCCCAGGCTCACAGACTTTGGAGACCGGGTGCTCTTTGTCCCTCAACAAGCCCCACAAAATGACTAATTTAATCAAGGATTTAAAACCTAGAAGAGTTATTTTCCATCCATAAGTTCAAGGCAGTCCAATTTCCATAGTTGTGCTCTTCTCCTAAATTCTGATTACATTTCTTTCTTATTCTAGGGCTGATATATTGGCATGAAAGTGTGAACTAACTTGAATTTGAGTTAATTTAGAGCCAGTTGCCATTATGCCTTGCTTGTGGGGTTTTCAAGATAATCTGGTTGGTCCACTGTAGGGGAAGGTATTCTGTACAAGATTATGTATGGTTACATCAAATGTTGCTGCAACCCAAAGGCAACCCACTAAATGTGTTACAGTAAATGTGGTCAATGTAGTTTATTTCAGTTTACTAAGAAAACATAGTACAAGGTACATCCTTAAACCAACAGTGGGTAGAAGGGAAATTTCATTCTACTGGTGGATGTATTGGTGATTTGTAGTTGATCAATAAGGATCTCTAGTAGCAGCAACAAAATTGATCCCATATACACATACCCTGTATTAAATTAGTGGGATGGAGGAATGTTGGGGTGAGCAGGACTTGGATTTGTGTATGAGGAGTCTGTGAGCTCGCAGCTAATTTGGAAAAAATCAGTAAAAGTTTGACACTTTTCAAATGTGCATCTCAGCTTTTGATATTTAAGCATTCCACATTCATAAATTCCAGATGTGTTGGACTATATTTAATTTTAAAAGCATGGGTACCCGTGGGCTTAACACTTATGTGTGAAGATGTCGTCGTGGTTCAACATTTATATATCATTCATGTGTCACAAATTTTGGGAGGGGGAAATCCTAGTCTAAAATGGAAAAAAAATTAATTCCATCTAAAAATAATCTGTAGGCGCAGCTGGGTTCTTCATAAATATATGCCATCATGTCTGGTATAGCTCAACTACAGTTGAATTTTGTCCCAGGTTATCTGTTTTCACCCTGAAGATTCAAGAAGCCCTTGGAAATATATGTGATGTAAATGTTTGCAAGTGTAGTTCTGTGATGAATCTAACCACATTTATCAAAAGTATCCCGTTGAAAGGAGTATTTTGATTTAATCTAAAAAGGTTTATTTGATGAATTTGTTACTGGAGCTCTTTTATGAGATTACTTAATATATAACCTCGTTACTGAAAATCTACTCTGGTGCTGCCTGGCTGTTGTTTATTATCATTACATTATTTTAAACAACATCTTTCATCATCATTTTATACCTTTAATGCACTTTAATTATTTGGATTCTGTCATGATTTAGATGCGTATGATGTGGCTTAAATGTTTTAATTATTATTTGGTTAGTCATTCAAGTTTTATTTATTTCATATCAAAAGCATTGCATAAATAAGTATAAAACTGATAAAACAGAAAGAGCACAAGCAGCTAAATAATTTTAGACCAAAACGGGCAACAACGACCACATTGTCTGTAGCTTTAAATAATTCTTCCTCTGTGCGTGAGGCAGGGCATTCTGGACAGGCATACAGATGCAGAGTTGTTTGTTCTGCTCCACAGTTGCAGAAGGTGGAGCATTCTTCTAGGTAGTGCCATTTTGCCAGGTTATCTTTTGATCTGCCCACTCCACTTCTGAGTCTGTTCAGGGACTTCCAAGTTGCTCATTCTTGGTTTGCCCCTGGAGGAAGACCCATGTGGGGGCCATCCAACTGGGATTTCCTGGTTTAAGTTTATAACTTTAAGGTAAAGATAAAGGTTTTCCCCTGACATTTAAGTCTAGTCATGTCCAACTCTGGAGGTTGGTGCTCATCTCCAACTGAAAGCCGAAGAGGCGGTGTTGTCCATAGACACCTCCAAGGTCATGTGGCCGGCATGATTGCATAAATTATAAATTTATATTGATCTTATGTATTTGTTTATTGTTTTGATCTGTTTTGTTTGTTCATTGTGGCATTGAATGTTTGTCACTTTTGTATTGTCAAAGACTTTCATGGCCGGAATCACTGGGTTGTTGTAGGTTTTTTCGCGATATATGGCCATGTTCTAGAGGCATTCTCTCCTGACGTTTCGCCTGCATCTATGGCAAGCATCCTCAGAGGTAGTCACTTTTGTTCTGGAAACTGCTCCTACTCCCTGGGGGAGATAGGAAAGGGTTTACTGTTTATTTATATTTACTGCACATGATCTTGGTCCTTGATCGTTCTTCCATCAACATGATTCTGTGATCTTGATAGTTTTGTATATCTGTTTCACTTTGCAAGATGATCAGTGCATTTTTGTATCAAAATTCAGGCTCAACACTTCTTTAATGTTAAGGTGAAATATGTACAGTAGCGTACAAGCTTCCAGTTTTGGTGTGTGGTTTGTTTTCTTTGTTTAAAGTGCTCATTTTTAATGATGAAATAACGGTGAATTGTCTCGACTTATTGCTGGAACGTCTGAATATTTTCAATAATAAAATGAGTCACAAACATGCAGGCGCCCCAGGTGACTGCTCCTTAAAGCAACTGAAAGGATGAAGACGCAAATTACTGCTTGACCCCAGTCACCACCTTCCTCCACCCTCCTTAGGTTATCTAACCATATTGGGCAGAAGTCTTAGTAATGTCTTGTGTTCAACTTGAGAAACCACTGAAGCCGTTTTAACAAAATGCCCCTCACCCCCAAAAAAACCATGTCCACCCCTCATCTGTTGATGTGGCAAGTGAAAAATAACACATGAGGGTTTTTTTGGGGCTAACCTGAAAGAGCTGGCCAGGTGTTCGAGGTTTTCTATTTGCATCTGGCTTCAAAATGATGTACTCTGAGGTTTTGTTTTTGGCTCTTAAAAAGTATTTCTTGGAAGACATCGTTAATGATTTTCATAAATTTAAATACTGAGAAGTCTAAGGCCAAAAATAATGCTTTTTTCTTCCTTTTTTTAACTGCTTGATTTCAGTTTAGAAATCTGCAGGGAGCTCTGCCTCGCGCAAACGTACTTTTTATTGCCTTTCCAGTTGATAAGATGATTCATGAGTCTGTGAATAGACGGAGATTTGAAATGTCAGCTTAGTGTCACAACCAAGAAGTAGAATAAGGCATGTTGGCATTTATGCACATCCCTTACAATTTATGTACAGTACAAAAATAATAATAATTGGCTGATTCTGTAGATCAGTGGTTCCCAACCTGTGGTCCATGAACCATCAGTGGTCCTCAAGAACTAAAATATGGTCACTGTTAATACATCATTGCAACAAGAGCACCTGGTCTCATAAAACCCTCTTATAGTGTCAAGGCTTATTAAATATAGTTTTCTGTGAGTGAGCAGATGGTGACTACTGGATGGCATATATTCTGTATTAGAAAGAGCTGATGTGGTCTATCCAATGCAATTTTCTGAATCAGTACCCCAAAAAACCAAATCAAATCTAAAGTGGACTAAAAACTGATGTTAGAAAGTAATCCCTGGTCAAAGTGGTCCCTGTTCAAGTGGTTCCTGGTCAAGTCATCCCTGGTCAGTTTGGTCCCTGGTCATAAAAAGTTGGGAACTACTGCTATAGATGGTTGCCTAGAAAGTCTTTGATAGAATATGGTTAAAAGTGGATTGTGACTTTTTACCCTCTTAGCTCAGGTTGAGTGTACATGGTTTGCAATGTCAGTGGAACTACATAATATTCTTTTCACTGTGGATACATATGTAAGAGTGAAACAACTTGTCGGGTGTTTTTTACACGGTACATTAATTTCATCTCTGTGCAATAGAAAGAAAAGAATTAACCATTCATATTGGCTTAGAAAAAACGCTGTTGAAGTCACCATAGCAGTTGTTTTAAAGTGTTTTTGAAATAGCAATGCATCAAGCCACTACTGTGCGCCCATGACATTTGGATTTTCCCTTCTCTTCTGTTTTTTTTTGTCTTTAAAACAATTAGGATCAAATGAAAAGTACAAAAGTGAATCTCTTGATAATCTGAAAGGTTATTTTGAGGTTAGCAAAACGGGGAAAGTGTTCCTCAAAATGCTTTTTGTTTTATTTCCAAAATCAAAAGCAGTATTTTAAAGCAATATTTTCTTTTGATTCACTGTAATCGTTAATTGTAAAATTTATTATGTGTTTTCTGAAGAAATTTCTCCCTCTATAACCTGTTGAATCAACAGTGATAATAAAACTTTATAGACCACCCTATCTCCCCGAAGGGACTCAGGGCAGTTTCCAACACAGGAGATTCCACCTGAAGATTAGAAAGAACTTCCTGACTGTGAGAACTATTCAGCAGTGGAACTCTCTGCTCCAGAGTGTGGTGGAGACTCCTTCTTTGGAGGCTTTTAAGCAGAGGCTGGATGGCCATCCATCGGGAGTGCTTCATGTGTGATTTTCCTGCTTTTTGCCAGGGGGTTGGACTGGATGTCTCTTCCAACTCAGTGAGTCTATATGGCAAGCATTCAATGCCAACAAGGAAACGTATCAACAAATTACATCAAAACGAGATACATCAAACAATATAAAACAGCGTAATGGTAAACTTAATACCAAATAAGAATATATTAATACCAAATAAGAATATATTTGCCTTAAAAAATTTAGGAGTCCAATTTGACTGTTAACCAGATGGGAATAAATGTATTCTGAACATATAGAATGTCAATTTAACAGCAA